TGCCACATTCTCGCCCCTGCTGAACCCTGGAAAGTCACAAAAACACGAGGCTTGGTTACCAGGCGCGCAAACCAAAAACAGCCACGGGTCTGGCGATGATGCAGGCGAGGAATGGCACGTTTGTGGTTTCAAAAAGCATTAAATGCAAAAATAGATCTCTATTTTAAGGACTAAGACCTACTAAATTGGCTATCCAGTAACATCTTTTTGTCCCTAATAATCAGTTGGCAAATTCGGGATTGTCATGGGCTTATTTGAATTATAGTGAGCACCGCAAATCATTGCGTAACCATATCGTGCAAAAACCGATGCATTAGGTGGCAAGTTGATTATGCTTATGATGTTGATCATGATGATGAGAAAGCAGTCCTCACCAATATTTTCGGAATAGTTCAAGATACGATTGAACTTCATTCAAATCCCTGGAAATTTGGTTTCGTTTTATCAGTTCTACATAAACATTGTCAGATATTTACTAAGTGACCGAATGAATCTGTTTGAGGCGGGATCCAGTTCTACCAACGACTGTCCAATTAGAGATCTTGGTGAAGGTTATTTGTGCCGTAGGTATTCTTCGTGGACGAATGAAAATGGGACATTTTGCCAATGTTGCACAAATAATGAATTTTCTTGCCTGGAAAAGCTTATCAACAACTTGGTAACACGCGTCCGGTTTGACGATAGCGTTGAACATTCGATCAGGTTCAGGGGTAGGGGGAACAGGTTTTGCAAATCGCAAAGATCCAACCGGGGGTCTAGCGTATCGAATACCTTGAAAGTGAAAACAGACCTGTAGAGCGAGGTAAGCCACACGAGAATCAACTAATTCTTCGGATGTTAGATGAATGAACAGCGACGCAACGTAACACAATCGGCAAAATTTGTAAATAGCATAAGCAGTTATGTCGCATTACTAAAACATCGCGCGCCACGGATGAGGTTGCAAGCGTAGCCAACATTTACGGTTGTATCTAGGCTTTAGGCTAAATCTATCTGTCGTTGTAAACAACATTTGCCACCACAGTTTAAATGTCACGTAACTAGGGGCAATGAATAGGGTCAATGCAATTTGATATCAGCCACTAACCGTAGTAAATATCCACATGTGTGGTGCGTTTTCCCGGCCAAATGACTGTCTCCTGCCTGCCGCAGTACGTCCCAACCGATGTTCGCAATCTCGGATTTCCTGGTGGACACTCGAATGACGTCGATGCTGCTGGCACTTTACTCAGGCAGGGGGTAGACCAAATTAGGAGGGTTAGAAGAGCTTCGAGCATAATTCTAGATAGGAAAAAGAGATTGCGTGCAGTAACCGAAATTTGCAAAACGTCCCATTCGCCAAACAACGCAGACTTGATCTTACCACAAGAACGGCCGTCAGGTACGTGGGCCGTAACACGACGGAGAATTAGAACAAGCAAGTCGGACGCACCTGATTTGTCGACGGTCAACCAATGAGAACCAAGTTAGAGTGCCAGCTTTATTGCAATCCTGTGCTGCCATTGGACAATCTTTGTCATTGGGCTGACATCTATAAAAAATACATACATTTGTGTTTATTCGTCAAGGGAGCGTTGCTAGACGTCAAAGAGGTTCGTGAAGAGGCTTTCAAAGTAAATCCGTATTCCGGTAAATGATTTTTTTGAGTTCCCCATTACTGCCTTCGATCAAATCATGCTTGTACGATTTATACACCAACTGCTGTTTGCGGCATTTCGTGTATAAATCTAATTTAAGAATTCCAAATGCAACGATTGTGTAAGCCTTGCTTATCGTGGTTGTCGTTGGTCTTTATTTTTTTACCAATTTCTGCGTCCGATCACTTCAATACAGTCGGAATTGGTGACGAATTTGTAGTTGAGTATGAATTGATTGTCGTATGGGTAATTTACTGCTCTCTGGAATGCATTCCTTTCATTTCATTCATTTCCACGTTGCCAAATTAGTTTAGAAAAGCTCCCCTAATTGGTGTTTCCCATAGTTCACGTGATTTTTACAAGATTGAAGAGACATGACGGTGAGAAAGATTACAGACGTAGTCTCGATTATGGGGCCGTTAAAATATGAAAGGGCCAGATTTTGAGGCCACCAGTTGGCCTAAAACAACTTGATTACCAAAAAATCCGACCCGATGAGCGAATTTCTGATTGGCGCTATAAAAAATCGATTTTATCAAATGGTTACTATTTTTATTATTAAAAAAGTTCGTTTTGAATAAATATCTAAAGCGGTTCTCTTTTTCAAAAGTTTGACAGTTGGTCAGTGGCTGATTTATGCTATATTCAATTGTTGTTTGCTGCTTAAACACTTTTTGTAACTGAAAACACCGAAGAATGGTTTTAGGATTGATATAAGAATGCCAATTTCTCGCAAAAGGGGAATAGAAACAAGTTTTACAAGTGTTTTAATCGTCAAATGTGTGCTTAGTCTCCCACTAAATAGCGCCGCTTATAAAGCAAATTAATTGCGCCACATCTCTCTTTAATGGAATAAATTTGAGCCAAAATACACTGAGAATTTACTTGGAAACATGTCTAAAAAGAACATGATCTACTAGTATGTGAATTAAACACCCTTTCACAGGAGATTGGCTGTTGTAAAACGGAGACTACACAGAATGAGGGTAATTGCGATTGAAATGTGACCATCTAGGCAATAAGCACCATAGCACTCCCCCCTTGCGTTGTTGTTGATGGTTTTCATTCAAACCTGTTACTGCCTGAAGGTGTTAAATTATGTCATTGATTACTACGCCAGTAGGATATATCCTGAGGCGGTCTTTCTCATTAAAATGGATTTCGCGTGGGCTAGAAAAATAACGAAGCCTCTTTATTATTTTGCGTTCACACAATTTTAAAATAGTTTTAGTTGCACATAAGAGTCATGGTGTGAATATAATGTAGCATAGCTCTGTGACCCACAAGCAATGCAAATATGCTCGTAGGCTACTTTAATCTATTGCTTAAAGTCATGCCTAGATGTAAAAACCAAACAAACAATTAAGACACATCTTATTTGGAAGAGTAGTGAGGTACTCTATTCAGAATTCCGCAGATTCCTTGGAAACAGACATACTATGCTATTTGAAGCATTGAATACCCAATTGTTTTCAACTAATATATTCGTCTCTTTTTTCCCGTGCGAAACTTGGTTTCCGTCAAGGGGTTAAATGTGTTATCTTTTAAAACCCCTTCTTCAATTTGCAAACTCTGTAACTAGTAGATGGTATAATTACCCTAACCAATTATTCCATGTTGATACTTGTAAAACAAAGGGTTAGTGTTAGAACTGAACGCTTATAATGCTTGTTTAAATTCATTTAAAATTTCGATTATTTTGCAAATTGCCTAAAAGCGATGACAACGAGGATTTGCTAAATGTGTTGCAGAGAATCATCCCATTCCAGTGTCATGTGGATTGGATTTTTGTGAGGTTTAACAGTGATTTATAATTTTCGTGGGGATGGGACAAAAATGAGTTCTGTGATCATAACCATTCATTTGTATATGTTGACTAATGCGATTAATTTAAAAAGCGCTTTTATTTTGGCAATTTAGAGGTGCTTGCGGATTTGTTTTGCTTCTTACGCATTTAAAATTCATCTTGAATCTCGGATGATAAAAAGCAAAATGAATTTTCTGCAAAAAAACCTGTGACTAGAACCAAAACCACCTTCTAGTAGTGAAAAGACTAATCATACGCTATGTAGGTAAAATTTTAATCACTCACCATTTTAGTTATGCAGACGGTAAGACATTTGGTTTCAATTGTATAATGCAGAATACTAATAGCATTCATGTTTTTAAATACAAAATAGAAGAAAAGTAGGAATTGTTTTATTTTGGACCTATTTTTGTATGTTAATATTAAAGTGCGCTATCAAATAAAATCTAAAAAACAGGCATTTGGTAGACAATAGTTTCAAGTATATTTGCTTCACTTAAATCATGACAATATATTAATTTTCACAAATGACATTTATTTATCCCCAATAAATATATGTAATGATTACACAAGAAAAAATTCATAATCATTACTTTTATAATTTTTATGGCCATTATATGGCCAATTTTGAATTTATTAATTTATTTGCTTACTGTGATAATGCAAATGCTTCTCATTCGTTGCGTTTAAATAAACCAATCAGTGTGTGCGACAGCGTTCCAGCAATACGCCCTTTTGAAATAGTTCTTAATTTCGGATCTAGAGCATGAGATGCGTCGCTCCACACCTGGTGCCTTTACTGGTATTGACTCTCATACCCCACGAATATGTGATCCTAAGTCGAATTCCTCTTTTCGCACGAACTCAAATGATTCTGGACGCTGTGTCCCGCCACCTGTGCCTTGCCGGCCGCAACCTCCTCCTCTTCCTCCCAAGCATCATCTTCACAAGGTTACGGGAGTGGAATTTAGCAAACAACTGGCACCCCTTGAACCTCTAGACAGTTATGGGAAGGACGTCTACGAATCGATAAATGACTCTCATGTCTCTTCACGTCCTGCTCGAAATCCGGCGCTTCCTCGACCTTATGCAACTCGGGATTTACCTCCACACGCGTCAGCCGCGACGTTAGGATTTCGTGCAATTTCTCCTCATACAATCCGACTTAGTTGCATGGGCAGGAGCATCTCTGGTCACGCACCTTACAATGACCCCAGGGCCATAAACTTTCCATATTCTCCCCCCTTTGCTATTGATCGGAACGCTGAACTTCTTCGGGCTCCCTGTACCTGCAGCTTAGGAGGAGGTGCAAAACAGTCCTTTTCCGGCAAAAACCAAAGTCCCGTTTGGGCTAAAATGCCGCCGGTTGTTCCCCGCCCTGCTGACACCTCTCCACCAACGACTTCGCATGTGTCCGCGGCAGCTGGCATCCATGAACCAAACCGCCTTGACAAAAAATCGACCCACGCGGATAACCGCCCGTGGACTATCTCGCGGTTTTCTAGAACCATGAGTCGGTTTTTTCGAAGAAAAACATCTCACCGAAAAGGCAAATCCGAGTCTATACGCTCCCGGTCTGTTTACTTTGGTGATTTGCATGACAGCGCCAATGAAAAGGCACAATCGCCTCTACTCACACCCTCGGCTATCAAGGTATTCCTCTCCCTTTAGCACTTCTATTTAAACCCAAAAATACGTGGTTTTTGCGTTTCTTCATGACCCTACATTTATAGGTTTCACATCTCCATTGTACCCTTTTTAAATCATTCCACGGTATTTGATGTTTGCATGCTGCCACAAGGATTGTCATGGATCGCATAAGTCAACGGTGGTTCATGTATTAATTGTTGATCATTAACTGTTAACTTGACTTTTGGAAGTCAAGTATTCAGCATAGTGTTGATTTATCTTCCACCCCTCTTGCTTTACGGGCCTTCCATCGAGTGATAAATTCTAGTAAACCCAAGGAACGTTTGTTCGCATTCTTTCCAGGCGCCTTTACTACAACTACCTTGTATGGTAAGTAATATATCAAAGCTACGTGGAATTACCTTGTGGCTGTAGACAGACCTTATACACGTCGCGAAAAAATTTCACCTTTCAACGAACACATTTTTACCGAAAAACGTCTAGGCCACGTCTCATAGCTTAATAGCTCTTGTCGGAGTACAGTTTTCTTCTCTTCTTTTCTGTTCCAGATTGCGATCTCACGGAATTTGACAAAAATGATCAACATTTACTATCATAATTTTGTCCGTGAAGGCCATTTTTGTAGCGGATTTATTGTCATTGTGTATCATGCTACCACTGGCTCAAATTTCTGATAATTAAAGTCGCCGGCACTTGTGGAAACTGTTGTTAATTTTGCTGCCAACTTCCAAGTGCTTGTGCCGTAAACGGTTCTTATTTTAATACAACGAAGCCTAATGTAACCTCTGCGCATTGTGTGTTGAAACGCTATCGCTCCCTTTACGTACGTGGTCTCTGACATGGCTTTCACCCAAGTTTTATTGTAATCCAGACGGGAAAGTATCAATTTTAAGCACCTATCATTGTTGTTAGGGTATGCGCTCAGCCACAGCGACGGCAGTGACTCTCCCTAGTCCCCCGCCATCTCTACCTCCACCTCCTCCCATTACTCGGGGCAATTTACCTCCCGGCGAGTTCACTAACTCCGCTACCACCACTTCGTCCGCTTTGCTGTGCTGCCTCGACCAGCCACCAATAACGGTCGGTGTGGAGGCCTCGGTTCAACACCAGACCCAACCAACCAAGTGTGGCGTCGCCAAGTCTGGGGTGTCTTGTGTCCATCACGTGCACCACATCCATCACGTACACCACGTCCACCACCACCTCCACCACATGCCTCCGCCGTCGTCGCAGGTAGCTCCAGCTGGCGTCCCGGGCGATGATGCTGCTGCTCTCGTCATGATGCTGGAGAATGCCGCCACCCTCGGAGAAACCCCTCCCCCGCCACCAACCCAGTCTTCCACGACCAAGGATTCAAAGTCGACCGAACAAGTGGTAAGCCAACTTCTGTACCTTTGATTTAGCTCTTAAGTCCCATAGACTCTGTCAGCCATGACCTAAGCGCTTGCCCCTGTAATTTTATATTGTGTAGCTACTCAGTTTGTTATTATTACTCGTGTGTGCTTTTCAGGCCGCCAACAGCGCCGGTACCCACACCTACAGCGCCTACGGTGTCCGAGGCTCAGCCGTGAGCGGTGGGGCACCAGCAACTGCCACCTGCTGTCCGATCTCACTAACACCACCGCCTCCACCTCCCTCCGCCATTAACTTCTCCGCCTCGACGACGACCTCCCTTCACCGACAGAGCACTACTGTCTGCTCAAACCCGCGTTGCATTGCCGCGCACTGTCACCACGTCCAAAGTAAGTTTCCCTCCCTGCCCCCTCCACGTTCCCAAATCTAATGAAATAGGGAAGAATTTCGGTGGCAATCTTGTTGTATCTCAGGCGCACTCCCCACCCTTCGGCGTGTAAGTTAGGGGTCTGTGAGGGTATCGAGAAAGCCACAGTGGTTGTAATGGAACGGGACTGTTTCAGCGCCTCTTCCGACGACCTTGACACGCGCATCCACACCTGTGGTCGCGCGTTGGACGCACTTGGATGTGCGGCTAAGGGTGTGTGTGTGTATACGTGTGTTTGTGCTGTCACCTCTTCGGTGGACACGCAATGAGTCATCAACAATCTTGCCGCTGCGTTGCCTTCCCTCACTTCACCGAACGCGCTTTGTGCTGGAGCGCTTGTACCACAGGCATGCACACACACCCACAGACCCCTCACACCCTTGTACCATGTCTATATCATTGGTGTCTTGTGTGTGTGTGTGTGTGTGCGCGTTGGCATGCCTGCTCCAGCCCGCTTAGACTCCGTCTTCGAGTTCAAACGAGTCCGGGCATTCGGTCTGACGGAGGAATTCTAGGATGAAGGGGGGGGAGCCATCAGATACTTTGCATCTCTCGCGTTTCCTGCCGTCTTTCTCGGAGGCGCGCGAATGGCTATTTCACGGGAAATCAAGTTTCTTACGCAATTAACTCGCTGCGTTTCCCGTCTAGGGCGTGATTAACGCCTTTTCAGTTGGCTTACTTGCGTTAGTTCCTAATCTCGGGTGTCGCGCTGAGTCATAATTTCCCTTTGCTTGCTTTTCTGCGTACCAGCAAATGCCTTGTGTGCGTGTGCGCGTGCGTGGTTGTAAATTTCTGCCTGTCATTCCTCCTGCCGTCACATGATCATCTTATTCGCGGCTTTAATTTTTAATTCTAATCACTATCTAGTTAATTTGGGAAAATTAGCCTATCCGAAGTTGAGTTCGAGCGCTTTTCTGGGGCATTTTTGACAACTAAGAGTTTATCCGCTTCTTGAAAATGCTAGTTCGACCTCCTACGCGTCTTTTATCCTCCCTATCTGGCTCGATCGGTCAATATTATAGCGACCGTTCAATGTGTATTACAGCGAGCTTCTAAGCTGCAACCCCGATGCAATGCCTGTTTATGAGAGGATCGATCCATGGAACTAAAGCGTAACCTCTTTTAGTACACCCTCAGCTTTATTACTTCACATTGTTGAGCTGTCGGTGCTCTCGGAACCGCTCACTCAGGTAATTTTCGTTCGGTGTTTGCAGGTTCCCCAGGTGACCACTTGCGGACGCCAACATCGATCGAATTGGCCGAGTTGGCAGAGGCAGGCGCGGAGGCTGTGTTTGGAAGTGGCAGACCCACGACCAGCAGCACTGACACATGCCCTCCCTCTCCGCCCACCGCCAACGGCGGCGGCGGTGGCGGCGTCGTCGTCGTTCCCTCATCGTCCTCCTCCTCTCCCAACTCCCCCCCAACACACCTCATGCATCACATGCACCACCACCACATGCACCACATGCTCCATCATGTCAGACCACCCTCCACTCCAGCCAACATCACCGCCGCCACACCGTCCTCCTGCCCACCCGACTCCTCCGCCAACCGCTGCCCCACCGGAGACTCCACGATCGCCGTCCCCCAAACATCCACCATCGTCGGCACACCCAACGGAGCCGCTAACTCCGTCGCTCAGGATCACCGCTCCTCTTTCCAGGAAAGCATGAAGGCTCTCAGAAAGGTAGGTAACCTCTTGAGCCGCTTCCCCGTGTTGTCGGCTTCGTTATTTTCAGTCCAGCTGTACGAGCCTCCCCCCTCGGTGTGGTTGTTGACACGCCTTGTGGGATTCACAGATCAGAATCTGCTGGCACGAGTGAGAGAGAGAGGGAGACTGGACGTTTACGAATTTCGCAATCAACACTTTCGTCCGTGCACATGCGTGTTTTTATGAGGTTTCTTTTGCACACGCTTGTGCGTGTGTGTGTGTATTCAGAATCCTTGCACGCTCCACCTTGTTTGGGGACAATGCTCTTGGCTGGCGGCCAACGCACATCTGCCACACACACACACGTCCCCCCCACCCCCTCGCGTACCCCGTGCGTGCGCCGCGAGGCCTCGAACACACGCGCCAACCCCCCTTCCTGTGTGTGTGTGCGCGCACACACACATTCACAATTATGGGCTGGAGAAGTAGTATTGCCTCATTCAGCCTGAGTAATTGAGTGCCAAGGCATTCAAAACTACGCTCAACTGGGCCCAATCGTTCAAACAGCTTGTTGGCCTCTTCACTTAACCTTGTGACGTTGACGCGGGCTTGTCACTCCTAATAGCGTCGCGTTTTTTCCCAAATTGGCTACCAGGCTTCTTCGTTTGTGTTCACGCACCTCACGCGGAGCTAGTCGCCGATGTCGTCGTCAATCCTCCGAACTCGGTCTACTAGTGATTCAATTCCATTCGTTTTGTGAAGCAGTTTGGGTCACAAGCTGGTCTTCCATGTGGTTTTGGCCGAACCTCAGACCTGCTGCTTGGGATCCACCGGCATAGTTTGTATGTGTGCGTGCGTGTGTGCTGGTGGCTAAGAATCCAAGCTATCGGATGCGTCGTGAAGAACTTGAGCGGTGTGAGAGAAAATTCTTTCAAAATCTCCTCCCCCCGGTACCTGTGTATCTGTTTGTGTGTGTGTGTGTGTGTGTGTGTGTGCATTGGTTGTGTTGCCTCTTGGCGTAGAGCCAATTCACATACGCACGTGCGCCTGCGCGCGTCAATCCGTGCGATGCCGTGAGATGTGTTCCTCTGTGCCTCGCTTCGTGCCCGATCCACGCCAGTGTTGTGGCGCCACCATGAGTGAATAGGCCCTTTGCGCTCCACACTCGTCGGTGGTGGTTGCTCCCCTTGTCGAAATTACGCCAAACGACCAGTTGGACTGCCATCTGTCACCTACTCTTGGGGTCCAAACCAATCCTCCACTGTTCCCCCTCCCACTCTCCGACTTGTGTTTATCAGAACGCGTTGGGTAGTGTGCCAGTTTGTCATTGTGGTATATACACCTGCCATTTCTTCTTCTGTCGCTTTATTCCCTTCCGTCTCCTCCACAATTACGCCCCCGCTTCCGTCTAAAACACCCTTTCTCGCCCCCAGGCATTAGGCGAAGGGAGGTTTTTGTAAACTTCTACAAGCAGTTTGTCCGTTTAGCCCAGACAACCAAAGTACACGGCCAGCAGTACTGACACATGCCCTCCCTCCCTCACCCAGAGATCTGTTCTCTCTCTCACTTTAGATGGGATGGTACTGGGGTCCGTTGAGTTTCACCGAGGCGGAGAAGCTGCTTGCCAATCGTCCGGACGGGACCTTCCTGGTGCGTGACAGCGCCCACGACACCTTCTTCCTGAGCCTCAGTTTTCGTGTGCGAGGCACCACCTACCACACCAGGATCGAGCACAATCAGGGTACGTCGCCTTTTTTACCCTCGAGACGCCCCTAGAGTCACTCACCAAACATTCGCGCTGAGCCTTTTTCCATCAAAATTTCACGTTTTTTTCAGCGCATGTAATCATTTTCCTAGACGTTCCTTATCGATCGGTGTGGCTTTGTCGTGTCTTTCCCTTGTTGTATCGATCGATAATCTGTCCACATCGGACGTACACACGCGTGCACACGCCATCGGTTGCCCCCCAAATGTTTAAACATCAATTCTGATAAATCACGGCTTTTTTTTCACCCCAGACAGCCATGCACATCTGTCCCTTCCCTTGTCCGCTGTCGTGCAGACTTGTGCTGCCAAATTGGCAGTCTCGTTTAGTTTATCACTGTGCGCCACCTGCCTACCCGCAGTCGGGTGTGTGTGTGTGTGTTTGTGTGTATGTATGTAAACAAACGATTGCATTTCTTAGTCGAGAAATCCGCACCACCCGGCACACCACACGTCGACTAAAAGCGACATTTGGCAGCTTCCAGCGCTGGAGTTAGTGTCTGGTGTCCGTGGCTGCGAGATGTGGCCGTTGAGGCGCCGCGCAGCAGCAGCAGCAGCACACTACTGAAGTGGTTGTGTCAGCTTTCAACACCTCCGCGTCTCCACGTGCGATGTGCACAAGCGCGGCTGGCTACTCGTTCTCAGACGTGTGATATTTTGCTTTCCAACCCACTCTGCGTGTGTGTGTGTGTGTGTGTGTGCACATTCGCGCGAACTGACAAGTGTATCCAGAGTTCAGGTGTTCACATGCACACACGCTCGTTCGCTCACGCCTTTCTCCGGCGCGCGTAAACAACCGATTTGACGCACACACACACACACACACACACGTGCAGTTTCCCCCTAGTCGCGGTTATGCTGGCGCCAAAACACCACAAGCGTTCGCGATCGTGCTCTTGCCGAATCTCGCCGAGCCCGGCAGCACTTGTCTGTGACAAATCTGGCACTGGTGTTGACACATTGTGTGCTCCACGTGTGTCAATGGTGGTGGGGGTGCGGGGGAGTGAGATAGGGCCTAATTCTAGGCGTCCATTAAGTGCAAAGTCCGCGGTAATCACGGCGTCTGATGTTCCTGCTGTTAGCGCTCGCGCGTTCGTGGTGGGTCGGTTACTTTATTTGACAAGCATGGCCTCGCGCAGTGCAAACATGTTCTACTCCACTCGGTGGTGCTCATGCGCGTATATGCTCGCGTACACTCATGCAGCCGTTTGTACCACCCCCAGTGTGTTGAAGGGCTTGATTGTAGCCGCATGTGTGTGCCGATGAAACCGGAGATTCTTGATTTACCATTTCGCCCACATTCATTGCTCATCACTTCTCCCACCCCCTCCCTCCCTCCCCTTTTTGGCACACCGCCCGTGCCCAACTTTACTAATGGCGTCTGTGGTGTGACTCATACCTCCGACGCAATTGATTGGTTGGACCACGCATCCGGCGTCGCGCCAAGTCACCAACTCTTTTGTGGGCTGTGCCTTAATGCACACCACCCATCACCTGTTTCAAAGGCACACGGTAATGGCGATTTTTCGGCGAACACCCCCTAGTATTGCGAAACTGCACGCACGACTTCGAGGGGGGGCGGTGGGGGTAGGCAATTTGGCCTCCCTCTTCCCTCTGGGCGTCCGGCTAGGTAATTCAACTTAAGCGTATTCTTCACTCGAGTGTGTGTGTGTGTGTTTGTTAATTTGTGTCAAGTGTTGTGCGCGCACTCTTTAAATCCCTTGTTTTATATTTGCGCCACGTGCACCACTTCGTAGTGCTGCGCCTCTCACACACGTGCGCACGCGCTCGCGCGTGCAGTCAGTGTGTGTGCGTGCGTGCGTGCTACCTGTCCTGCCTGCGTGCCTCTATCGATTGAGTGCGTCCGTGCGTGCTGAAGTGTGTGTGTGTGCATGCAACTAGCACGCGTGGGTCGTCTGTTGCCGCCCCGGCGTCCTCCCCCGGGTGGAGTTGCGTAGCCCCCTCTCTGCGCCAATGACAGCCGGAGCACGAGTGACTCATTCAGGCGCTGAGAGCACCAACAGTTGGCCTCACCGTCCCGCTAACAACCTCGCGTCGAAACCACGCGTCCCGGAATGAAATCGAAAATCAGACGGGTGGGGGTAGGCGGGCAAACGGAAGACACGAAAATTCCACGTGTAGTAATTGCCGCAATAAATCCACGCTATCACGTGCTGACTTCAACGGGGCTAATATATCTTTGTAAAAGGAGTGAATTGATGTAAAAATGTGGCGTTATTGCACGGCATTCGCTACGCCGTAGCCTGCAATTGCAAAAATTTCAGGATTTTCACGCCTGGAACTGCTTCACCGGAACGTGGAATGACCGTTCACCTCCATACTCTCCATTATCTTGGAACGCACGGTCCCTTATGCCCTTGTTGGTGTAGTCCTGATTTCCGCTTGTGGAAATCCACATGCCTTCCGTGTGGTGCTTCAGTCGGCAGAGGCGTTCTAGTGTCTCGCAATGCCTGCCTTGGGCACACGCTCTCCTCATGTGACCCCGAACTAGGCCTCAGTGAAGTAGAGGGTGAGGCATCGCGAGACGAGGTGTGCGTGCCAATTCAATTAGCATATCGTGCCAAGTTAATTTTGTCCTTGATGTGACATGTGCGTGAAAATTATAAACAAAGGCTAGCTCCGCCTCATCCACTCAGACTAGTGTCTCACTGTGGCTTACGCCATGCGCTGTAATTTGGCTGTGTGTGTGTGTGTGTGAGCGCGTTATCATCTCCCGTACGACTTGGTGAACGGTGTTCTTCCACGCGATCCGACGGGTGGAAAGTGCGATCGCCATGTGACGCTGCCTTGCCTTTTTCAGGTCGTTTCAGCTTTTGGTTTGAGCCCGAGTCGCACAGCGCCAGCACCGTTGTGGAGTTCATAGAGAAGGCGGTGGCGCATTCAATCGGTGGCAAGTACCACTACTTCCTGCAGACCAGCACTCCCGGCCAGCGGCCCGTCGAAGTCTCCCTCCTCTACCCTCTTTCGCGGTTCCAGGTAAACTTTCTTGCGTCAGGCGGCTGTCCAATAAATGTTGCTCTTTTTCTGCGATTACGCCACAATTTCTTCTCTCCTTGTGGTAGGTTGTGCAATCTCTGCGGCACTTAGCTCGTTTCACGATTCTTTCACATGTTCGTCGGGACCACGTAGCTCGCCTGCCACTGCCACCGGGGCAGATTGGCTACCTCTTCGAGAAGCAGGTGTACTTTGAGTCCCTGGAGGACTTTGAGGCCGTAATTCGCGATCGTCCACCGCTCCAATTCACCTCAACCAGCGCCGCAGCCACCGCCGCCGCTGCCGCCCCCAAACCCTGAGCCCCATCTCACGAGCCCCCTCCCCAGCCAATTTCGTTTCGACCTGCCTCCTCCACCTATATTTCGCTTCACTGCCCTGCCCCCGCCCCTTCTTTCTCCATCTCTCTTTGTACAGAGCCGTGGAAATGCCATTTCAATGAACTAATGTCAACCGGTGTATGCGTGTGTGTGTGTGGACCCTGCCCAACCCTGCGTGTACATAGTTTACGCAAACCGCGTTCCCCGTGCCACATCTCCGTTTTCGCGACGCCAAAATACCCTCCTGGAACAGCCACCAAGTGAACTCTACTTCGCTCACTCTCATACTCGCCCGTCCTAGCACACACGCATACTCACATTTAATGCAAATGCAATGAACTATAAATGCAAAATTGAGAAATGCAGAAAACGTCTTTTTTATGGTCCAAAACCGGGTCCTGGGTGCCTTCTGGGGGAGGGGGGGTGTGGTGAGGACTGGTCTTACCTGGGTGGAAGCAGTTCGCCAATCACCTCACTCGGAAAGTTTGGGGTCTCATTATTGAATGCTTTCAAGAAGAGCGTTGTAGCTGAGATGGCAGACGCGATGTCGCCTTAGAATCCGTTTATCGATCACGAGCTTCGATTTCTCGTGGTGGATGTGTTCAGCACATGTTATAGTCGATCACCGCCAGAGCTAGCTTTAACTGGACCGGGTTATCGCGAGCGCCGATCACATTCGAAATTCCCGTGTGTGTTTCTGTGGTATGGGGGCCTGTGTGTGTTGAAACGTTGGCGTGGGGTTGCTGTGAGCGACCATATTTGCCTCAAGGATATCTCAAACTGGTGTCACGGGGTGCCGACACGGCGTCTCACATCTTTTTAAAAAAATTAGATGAAACGCGCAGGAATCGATCGTAAACTCACTCAAGTACTGCATTCCTCTGCCATTAATGCGAAAAAGCTTGTGAAGAACCACAAGGCAGCAGACACCACGCCCTGGGGTGATTTAGTTGACCTGGTGGATAGACTAGATCAAAGACTGGTCGAAATTTGTGGACCTACCTGGTGTACTCTCCTTCTATGGATCAGCAAGACATCGGTGATGCAAAGTTTGGTATTCCGTTGAGATGACCCTATCTAAAAGCCCTTTAATGAAGAACACTACATCAATCCGTCAGCCAATCATCAACCACGATTTTGATGGTTCCACTTTGGCTAGCCAATGGTGTGAGACCTAGTACCCTGATGTGTTGGTTTATATGACTTGCCTGAATTCTCACATCCAAAACAAAACGAATGTGCCTAGAATTCACCCATATCTAGAATCAATTCACAAATCATTTAATGAAGTTCAAAAATGTGCCTTTTCTAGTTACCCTTCTCTATTTAGTTGGACCTAACTTGGGCCCTATCGATTTTTCGCCGGTGCAATTATTGACCCAATTTCAGACATGGGAACATTAACGCCGGTTGACATGGCGTTGCTGGGTCTCCGATTGTCTTAACTAACTCTAATCTCGAAGCCGTGGTAATGCAATTAATTTTGCACCCTTAGTTGTCGTGGTGACAGCCGCGCAGTGACGGTAACTCGCATCGAATGCAACGCACATGCCTCTTCCACCATATTTTCGAAACCAGATCCACGAATAATCTACGGCAACAAATCGAGACGTTTAGTACGGCAAAAATTGGCTATAAAATCAGGCTATTTGTATATTCACCACCCCTTCTGCCGGTTCGGGCATAATTTTGTTCCTAAAACACCCGCTGTGTAATGCGGACAGTTGCCAAAGCGGAGTGAGAAACGGTCACGTCTGCAGGATAATTGGAGTAGGCTACAGCTGTAACACCTTCTCGTCCTGTCAAGTCGCATATTTCTCTCGGTGTGTGGGTGTGTGTTTGCGTGTGCGCGTCGTTAATAGACATCCATTTCCGCAGACAATTCCGGACTTAATGATGATGGTTTTGGCAAAACCAGCCAAAAATGCCTCCACTCTCACTCTCAACCACGTTTAACAGCAATAGGCTGTTAGCTTAGTGAAACTTTTCTGCAATTATTTACGCTGATGTTTGATCGTCTAGTCTCGAAGTTGCTGCCTGTTCAGATCCTGTAAGCCCCATCGTTGTTGAATGCATAAATTATGTGAAATATTGGCGAGAAAACAGACGAACAAAGAAACATCTGACCGGTGTGATTGATGGCGTTGATCACAACCGAGTCCCAGGCTTGCAACCCTTGAACCATTTTATCGTTTTTTCGCTCTTTTGGCACCATGAACCCAAATTATTTAGGTTCCAAGTAAACATCACCTGCACAGTAGAAACGATGCACAGAGGTGGTCGGTGTGGAACTGTTGAACTGTGCAACTAGTGATCAACCATTCACTCACCGCCATCACCCAAATCCCGTTTCGTCTCCATCGGTAGCCGAAGTAGCGAACTGATAAGTATAACAGACTGGACGACTCACCTGATTGGTTGATACTTCAGGTCCGCTTCCAACCCGACATCTGAGTGGGTTTATGTGTGCTTGACGTAGGGCAGGTGAGGACAATATATTGAGTTCATATCAGATCGCGTTTACTCAAGGTCATATTCCCTTGCAATTTTCGTGTAATAATAGAAAATCAATAAGACAGTGTTTATGTCGTATCTTAAAAATTGTGCAGTAAAATGGCCCGAGTATCCATAGCACTTATATGTGATTAATACCATTGCCGTAGAGAGAGCTTAGCTTGAAAAGCCCATGTTTTCTAGTTAATTTTATTGATATTAATTAAATGAACTTCAGCCAATTAGATCGCAGTGTTACGGCAGAGGTCAAAACTGCCATTAAGTGCAGATAAGTTAACGATGCCATAGGGTAGTGCACATCAACTTCTAGCGCATCAGACAGTGGTCTGAATGCTGAGTGGAAATGGAGGGTTAGACATACCAAAGGTCAAAGGTCAATTCTTCTTTCTGGTTGTTGATTACCTCGTGCGCGCATGATACAGACACTTTTTAACAAGGTTTTGAAAGCCACCTTTCTGAACGGTCACTAGTTCGTTTAAATTTGGCTTTGCACTTCTGTTTTCCCCAGCTCCTGGAAATGCCTCAAGCAGCCACGCATTTCATTGTGTCAACAAACGCACGCACACACACACACACACTCCTGTGTGTTACAAACCAATGTGGTTTTCTTTATTAGCAGTCACAGTAATTATCGGTTAATCAGGCCATCGGGAGGGCTTAATTGTCGCTTAATCTTCACATTCCCACGGTAACACCAGCACCAGCAGTAATTGCGTACTTTGTTTTATAAATAATGCCACTGAGGAATACTGTGTGTTATATTTAAATGGTTTATTCCTAAAAAAACAACTATTACCCGTATCATTGAGCGTTTGGTAAAACACAGGATGGTGCATTGTTAGTCTGGTCTGCTCATAATTTTCAAATGCAAATGTCTGTTTTCTTTTGCACAAAAAAAACAGAAAAGGATCTATTGTGTGTGCGTAGAGGACACTCAAGATAAAGTCTCTAGTCTCCTCAATGGCCAACACATAAACTATTTTCACCTAGGAAATACCTCCAGGAAGTTGTGGACATTTCAACTGATTTTTGAGGACTAGGATTTGATGTCGTTTGACACAGATTTCAAGCGGCGGCAGAACTAAGAGGCTGTCTTGTGAACACATTCGAGACTCCTTAAAATATAAGTGATACCGATGTTCAGCGAACAGCATGGCCTTCGGAGTGGCGCTCTTCGAACAAACCAGACGATATTGAAGCCCTTTCCAGCAGGTCGGTGGCGTGAGGTGGTCCATTCGTTTTCTCATTGGATTTTTGACGCTTGTCACGTGGATATGTCACTCTCCAGTAACTCTCGATCACTGATACCGAAATCGAATCCAGTTCTCGTCCATGGGCGCTCTTTTGTCAAAGTAAATTCCTCGTTGTTCAGGATCTTGAGTGATGCTGTATCAAAATGAATTGTTTGCTTGATGACTCAAGTTACTAGACAGTGAATATGTGGATAAAGTAATCCCTCTTTCGGTAATTCTGAAATCGCTGTCTGATTTTGGTATTTTATCGGAAAGAGCGCATTGAACTTGAATACACAGCATGATCTGTAAGGATCAAGCAAGGGGTCTAAATATCTGTAGATTGCAATCCGCAAACTTTTGACGTTGATACACCAAATCCCCTGACAACTTCCTAATGATTTTTCATTGGTCTAATTTGAAAGGAACAATGATGCCAAACGACGATTTGTTGTCAAAACAATTATTAAACAGGAGATATGTTTTTTCTTAGTCGAATCTATTCAGGCAAGCATTAACTTGTCGCTAAAGCCTCAAACTATATCGAATTTTCGCCAATACAATACTTTACTACCATCTACCACTACCATCTTCAAAATACAGTTAAGTAGATTTGAATTTAAATAAAAATGCACTGAACGATGATTAACTTAAAGCAATTGTGTGTAAAAAAGAGAAAACACAACAGTAACGAATACTTCAAAGAACTAACAAGTCGTCAACATGCTATTGGCTGGAGTGGTGGATACAGTCTGCAACTTTATCGATTTTCGAGGGATGTCCGAGTTCGCCTGTGACACCAGTTTGATAAGCTGGTATACCGGTGTTAAGATTTTGCTGTGTTTATGCCTTGGAGTTACATGCGTGCAGGAAATGTCCTTAGGTAATGCAGATAACATCTCAGGAAATTTACTTGTTTGCAGGTCAAAAAAAGGTTGCTGAAACCCATCGTAAAAATTTCAGATAGCCAGCATATTTTCTGTTCCGCTTTGGTATGTAAATTTGTGCATAAATTAGTGGGTGCTGTGTATTCACACAGCACAACTTAATTCACGAGACGTTTAGTCGTAAAAGTTCGTAAGTGTGCACTTGTTAACACGTATGTGGCATTAGTGCAAGCGATGTTCCGCGCCCAAATCTGAACCACACTGTAGAACAGTTGGTCCAGTTAATCGCCTACGCAAAATTACACTTGTTTACTAGTACAGATTCCAACAACCAGTTGGCATGCTGATT